GAATCTAAGGCAAAATAGAGACATCCCAATTATTAAAATAAAGAGACTTCGCTGTCAGCAGGAATGTCATTTGGACAGTGGCAGCATGCAGCATGGAAAAGACTTTACCAGCTGCACATCTGATACAGGGCCCATGTCTAACATACAGAATGAACTTTGAAAAATGAGCATGAAGAAAACAACACAATTAAAATGTGGTGCATGCCTAAGGAGAGAGTTCTAGAGGATAAAACACATAAGGCTGAAAAACACTTAAAGAAAATTCAACCTCCTTAGTCATCAGAGGAATGCCAATCAAACTCCTCTGAGATGTCATCTTACTCCAAGCAGAATGGCCAAGGTCAACAAAACAAACAACAGCTCGTGCTGGTGAGAATGTGGGAAAAGGGGACCCACACTTATTGCTGGGGTGTATGAAAACTTGTACAGCCACTATGGAAGTCAGTGAGGCAGTTCCTCAGGAAGCTGGAAATCGATCTACCTCAAGATCCAGCTGAACCTCTCTTGAGCATGTACCCAAAGGACTCTACATTCTACTACAGAGACACTTGCTCATCCATGTTTATTGCTGCTCTATTCATAATAGCCAGAAATGGAATCAGCTCTGATGTCTCTCAGTGGATGAATGCATAAAGAAAATGTGGTACATTTACACAATGGAATGTTACTCAGCTGTTTAAAGATGAAACCACAAAATTTGCAGGTAAACTGATGGAGGTGGGGGACAAATTATCCTTACTGAGGTGACCCAGAACCAAAATACATGTACCGTATACATTCGCTTATATGTGGGTGTTAGCTGTTAAGTCTTCAGTAAGGAAAGTGCAATCTGAATAATCACAGGGATTAGTTATAGAGAAAAGTATTGGAGGGAAGGATTTCCCAAAGAAGGGGAAATAGAATATACAGTTATGGAAGCACAAGATGGGGCTAGAATGGGAGAATTAAACAGAGAAGGGAACAGAGGGGGAGTGAGGGAGAGAGCACATGGAAGGACACCTGACACTAAGGACCATTTGGAGGTCATTTGGAAACCAATTTCAGTAGAGGCTTTTTAAAATATATATATGAAAGATGTATCCGTTGCTTTATCTCTCTATACACATATATAAGAAATATGAATAGATTCACCAAATAACAGTGTAGACAAACTCCAAATCGACATCTCTTGGCACCAAATTAAACCTCCAGTGCTGGGAATGGATCACATCTAATTGAGTTGTTGGCCAAGGGGCCCCATGCAAATACCAAGCAACTGAAGCTATTGTGAAGTCCATTGGTGGCTCTCCACAAATGGATGACCAGTCTCTGTTGGTGAGGACAACCCTGCAGAACTCACTGAACTCTGAGAAGTTGAGCTGGTGCCTATCTAGATCTTCCCTCCTACTGAGACCGTTCATGGTACTGTCAGGCACTCTGCATGCTCCCAGAGGATGAAGGTAAACACCAAGCTATCTATAAACCCTTAAATCTACAAGGGTGATTTGTTCACAAAGTACACCAGTACAAAAGTGGCACCAAACCCATGGGAGTAACCAACCACTATCTGATTAGACTTCAAATCCACTCCATGAGATAAACCCACGCCTGACACTGCTTGGGTGGCCAAGAACCTGAGACCAGGTCAGCCATGGAAACCTAGCTCTGAAGGGACCTCTAATGGCTTCCTGCTGTGCTTGTGCGCCAGTGTCTTGCTCAGCCATCATCCAAGAAGCCTCCTCTGCAGAAGATGGGACCAAATACAGAGACTCAAACTGGACAAGGTGAGAGACCGAGAGACCTTGGAGCACCCGGCCCTAAATGGGATGTCCCCATAAAATTGCTGTTCTAAGTGCTCAGGGAGGACACAGAGACATTCCAAGAGCCACTGGCGATGGAGGACACTAAGGACACAAAGCCTTCTGGACCCCAAGATGGTGAAATCACAAAGACTATGGCAGCATGCACGGTCTAAGTCAGACAGGGGTTCTCAGTACTGAAAGAAGTGGACACAAACCCCATCCCTAATTCCAACTGAGAACCACTCACAAAGGAAAAGTAAGTGTTACCACAGACTCTCACTGGGTCTACAAACCACACTTCTGTGCACGCCCCATGCCCAGCAGCAGATGGCCAGCACAAAACAAACTCAAAGGTTTTTGGTGGTTTTTACTTTCCTAATGCTTTGTCTAGACTTTCCTTTGTGTGTGTGTGTGTGTGTGTGTGTGTGTGTGTGTGTGTGTGTGTGTGTCTTTTAATCTCACAGGTCTTTGTCTCATATATATATAATGTATATACAATATATATACATATGTATATTATTAGGGTTTCCAATTTTATGCTTTTATGGCATTTCTCTATGTGCAAAAGTGTGTGTCTCTGCACGTGTATGTGTTTCCTGTGGTTTTCTTTGGCTTTTTTTTCTGATTTGTTTTGTCTTATTCTGATTTGTTCATTTTTTTAAATCCACAGGAGATGCCAATGGCCCAGAAGCGATCAGCAGACAGCCAGGACAGCAGAAGACAAGAGACTACATAGTCTCCACCCTGCTCCAGACTCTTTAAAAGCCAAACATTTATGGACAAGCCATCTTAACATCTCAGAACTTGTTAAGGGTTATTTTTACTTATGTGTAGGTTTCTGTGAAGCACCTGTGGGTGCCTATGGAAACTAGAAGAAGATAATGGATTCCTCAAAGCATGAGTTCTGAGTTCATGTGAGATACCTGATATGGGTCTTGGAAAATGAATTTGGATTCTATGAAAATGCATTATGTGCTGTTAACTACTGACTCCTTTCTCCTGACCTGTGTTCCTGGGATTTTAGTACTTATAGATGCAATATGAACCTCAATAAGACCACTGACTGTGCAAAGAACACGTAGGAGCAATATCATTTGTGTACATTTGTGTGTATGTGCTCACATGTTTGCATGAAAATCACTCTAGCCCCACAAACTCGTGTGTTCTGGTTGGTCTTTGGGAGCAAGCCCCAAATCTAACACAGCTGATCATGGCCCTGATACTTCAGCAACTTCATCCAAGGACTCCATTGGTGATCTGTTGGGAACAAGACCATGACTCAGCCAAAAAGATGAGACACTCTTGGGAAAAAGCCACCAGAGTAAGAACTGGCAGAAACTTCTGGAAACAGATTTGGATCCAAGAGAGAACCAATATGAAAATGACCAGTCAGTGTGAAAACAGAATAAATGTGGAATCTTAAAGAATCAGATGAACATCACAAGCTCTTTGTGGATCTCCAGTTTTATTGTATTTCACAAGAGTAGAAGATGGCAATGGAGGGCCACCAGGAGGGAGAGGGGAGCTCAGTGGAGGATGAAGGTCACAGAGAATCAGATCCCATGTCAACTCAGTTCCAGGACCCAGGACAGGGGAACAGAAGCCAGAGCCTGCTGTCTCTAACTAGGTGAGGTGTCCAGTAGCCACAAAGTGTCTCCCTGGAGCCTGTTGGGTAATGACTGCTTCAAAAGAGCCACAGAAACAGAAACAGGACAACCAGACAGTCAGTGGAAGGCCAACATTAGATGCAGCTCAGGTCAGGGTACCAGAGAGACCGACCTGTACCACACACACCTGTCCCCATGGGTGGCCAGATTCTCCTGGGAGGCCTTAGAAG